AAAGGAGGATTCTGTACTTTAGGTACTTGTTTCCTCATTCCATACCTACTTATCTTTCTGGTAGGAGTGTTATGGTGCCGGTTAGCAGTGTGGTAGGTACAAGAAATGTGCTGCGTGGACTTAAGGTACCTTTCATGTGCATATGTGTCTCTGTGTGTGCTCTTCCACTGTGTAGGTGCTCCTGTGCCTGGGCATAGTGGTATCTGTGTGACAGCTTTCAGTAGCAAGCGTTTTACCTGCGTGTTGGCAGCTCAGTGTTTTCCCAAGTCCTGAGCACAAATGCAGGAAGGCTCCCAGGTTGTGCTTCCGTAGCTTGGGGATGTCCTTCTCCTACTTCTGTCCTGCACGTACACATCTTTATTGACAAAAGGCCATTTCTTGATGGCAAGCAATAACTCCTAGTCTGAGAGACCTTTCAGCAGTACTGACTGTTTTTTACATTTCATTAAGAACAAAAGGTTTAATATTTTTCTGTTGAATCTTAGCTCAAGCTTCTGTTCACTTCGCCAGCTCTCTTCAGACATCTGCTGCTTCAATCCATGCAGGCTGTTTTAGAGGTGAAAAGGCTCCTAATTTTCTTTCTGTAGAAAACTGAAATCCCCTGAGTATAGGCTTTTACGTCTTTAGATACTGACTCCAAGTTATCACGGTGTTCCCAGAAGAACTGGGGGCGAGTGGATTTGCTTATTATTTATTGTATTATATTTTTTTGTTAACAACATCAACTTCAAAGGCAATTATTACCAGCTTTTCTAACTTCCTTCAGATATACTTCTGTCTGTAGATTTTCTGGGCAGTCACTTAAAACAACATATGTACACAAGGCATGTTTCATAGTTTCAGACTTTCCTTGTGTGTGCCAGATTTGCTTTTTTCTCAAGGGTTTCTGTCTAGCTGAGACAACAGAGTACTTCTTACTCCTTTGATTAATTATTTTTAGGGCCTGAAAAGATCTCTTTTTGTGATAATATTGCCTGCTGTGCTTTCAGATGTACCATTAGAATTATCCTATACTGGAAAGATCTAGGTTGGAAAGGATCTCTTGAAGTCTCTCCATCTGAAGCCCCCACTCAAAGACCTGAATTAATCAGTCCTTTTGAACTACAATATACCTTTTAGTAAAAAATAAGTGAGCGTTTCTTGGTTTTTATATTGGTGAGATTTTTTTCATCTTGCTGGCACTAAAGCTTTGTTATACTGTAAATCATGTTGTTCTTGGCTGCAACAGGAATTTTTATGCTAACAAGTTAGTTTGATCACAGGCTTGATACTGGCTCTAGCTTATTTTCAGCTGCTAAAATGCATAAAAGAAAACTAAAAATATCTTTCCATGTATCTAGGAATTTGTGTTCCAGTCAAGAGTATCCTTAGAAATGGTTGTAAGAAACAAGGCTAGTGATCACTCTGTTCTCATTTGCAGTCTATCAGTGAGGTAGCTTGCCTCTTTTTAAAAGACCAGGTTGGGATAATACCTGTTTTTTCTTGTGCTGAAGGTGTGAAATGCCTGGGGCATCAGAGCTTTCCTAATCTGTGCAGAATGTCAAAATGAAGGTAGTGAGCTTTCAGAGCTTATCACAATAGCAAGACTCTGATAATATTCCCAAAGATGGTAGGAGACTTGAACTTCTGGCTGTTGAGCTGACCCTGGCAACAAGGAATCAGGTAGGAACATAAGGATATGGACTAGATTAGGAATCAAAGGTTGAATGCTTTTAAACTGCTTGCTTGTTCCTAGCATCATTGCATTTATTTTTTAAGATGGCCAGTATTCCTCCAAGCATGTTTTAGCTGACCATTGAGAACCCTGGAAACGGTGCTGTTTGCTTTAATGTACAGGAAGTTCAGAGTGCAAAGGCCCCCAGGTCAGGGTGTTGGCGCACGTCCTGTCTCATCCCATCAGCTTCCCCAGGAACCTCACACAGGTTTTTGTGTCTCCCCTGCAACCACCATTCCTTGTTCTAGGTGCAGCAGCCCTAATGTGATGTTCCTCGCTGGTGGTGTATGCTGGACCTCTGACCATCCTTAGAGAATCTCACTGTGTATGGTTCATGTTTCTTTTGAAGTACTGGGCCCCAAACTTGATCAAGGCTGGAGTGGTTTGACTAGAGTGGAAAATTGACCTGTGTGTCACACAAGCAACATTTTCTTTTTCTGTGTTCCAGAATTGCATTTGCGTTCTTTCTCACAACAGTGTGCCTGCCTTAAGCCCTGTTCAGTTTTTAATCTCTCATAACCCCATTTTCTTCCTGCCCGGGCAGTTATTTTTCATCCTATTTTTGAAAAGTAGATTATTTCTATCCTAGTTCTCTACTCTGCTTCTTTCTACTCTGTATTTGTCTGTGCTGAATTACATCCTATTTCAAAGCATTTTTCTAGGTTATCAAGATCATTTTGAAATGTGGTTGTAAGGGCGTAGGGGTTTGGAAGACAAATCTCTGCCTAGTTCTTAATGCTGTTGTAAACTCTTGTGCTCTGATCTCCTCAAATCACCTCCATTCCCCAGTAAAAACTGTGGAGAAATTTCTTCTGTGAGGGAATTATGAAAATACATGAGAGGATCAGAAATCTTGAAGAGTTCCTATGCTGACACAGTGGCCTCTAGCTGAGATGAGGAATCACAATAATTTCAAAGCCTCTTTTCACCCTGCTGTGGAAAGGTTCATTCAAATGCGCAATCCAGGACAGGCTGGATTCCGCATGTGGGGTAGGAAAGAGAGTCCCTTTATCCAGGGCAGGTATTTGCAGTCAGGGGAAAAAAAAAAAAATCCAGTCTCTTACAATCCAAAAAGTCGTAGGCAGTAATATCTTCTGGTCTCTTAACTATCTACTGAAATGAGTGTTTTCTTAGGAATACTTTTGGAAGGCAGCAAATACTGGAGTTGCCTCCACAAAATAGCAAGGAGGAGCCTGGGCTGTATTTCTAGTGCCTTCTTTGAATGTGATCTGCTTTCCCAGAGGTTTTGTAGTTTGTGTTTCACAGAGTGCCTCTTCTGCTGACACAACGAGGAGGACCACCACACTTTGCCTCTGGTGTATTTGTTTTGTGGCTTGCTTTCAATACATTGAAGTTTTCAGAACAGACTCCACGAAACACTTAGAAGGATGCATGCAGCTGGGTGAAAAAGGAGACTGCAGGACTCCAAAGTGTTTAGTGGAAACATAATCCTGCCTCTTTTCTAAGTAGTCCTAAACAGTGCGGAACCAGTCCCAACTCTGTGCTGCATAAAATGTTAGTGGCTTTATACAGTTTCTCCGTTCATAAACTCTAATCAGAATTAAAACGTTTGATTGCATTCCCATTGATGGTAAGTCATTGCAAATAAACGCAGGAGAGGATTCCAGGTGTCCGGCCATCCGAGCTATTGACAGAAAAACAGAGTATTGAAGTTATGTGTGCATCTGATGTTTAGCATTTTCTTGTAGGTCGCTCAGATTGTCAAGCACGAGATGGAAAATGCCGTCAAACTCTCGGTAAAATTGAATGTTAAAGTGAAAATTGGACCTAGCTGGGGAGACCTGCAGGACCTGGAGCTCTGACATGAAACGCAGCTTTTCCTGTGTGTGGTGCGGCGGGAGGCACCGTGGACTGGGCAGTGCAAGGGCCTGTGTCTGACCTGCGTGCGGCGTGAAAGCTGCCTTCTGAAATGTGTGGTGAAAGCTGATATGAATTCATCAAGCCAAACCCTTCAAAGGTCAGACAGCGCAGTGAAGCGTGTTTACAGAACTGTGAAATTATTAATTGCTAAAAGCACAGTATTTAAATGAACTCTGTTAAAATATGCTTGATCTTGTAATTTAAAACAAAACCCCAAAGCCTAATGAATTTATTCCATATGAAATGAGCTGGATTATTTGATTAAAACAAGGTGCAAGATAAGTTGGCTGTTCTTGTGTGGAATTGTGTCTAGGACAAAAAAACCCGTCATTGTGTTTGCACTTAATGTTGAGTTTTACAGGCTTCTGCTAGGATCATTTTGTACTGAATTCTGCTGCTGACATTCAGGTGCTGAAATGGCTTTACAGCTGGCTGGGTCTTGCACTGAGCGGCTCTGCAGCGTTCACAGTGAGTGGAACCGGTGCTTGGTTGGCCTCCGACTTTTAGGAAAGCGTTTTGGTGACTGCTGCAATTCATCCTACTCCTGCCTTGTAAACTGGCCTTGAGGGGGATATTGTTTGGTGTCTCTTACAGTTAACACAAAATCACCAGCAAGAACATTCCTTTTTAAAGAATGAAACTCATTTTATTGGTTAAAAATTTAACGGCAATTCATATTTTTGTGAGGAAAAAAAAATTCCAGGCTGGCCAGGTGAATTGACAGCCTTGCTGGTGTTTTTGAGGTTTGGTGTGTTAGAGAGGTGTCGCTGAATGGTGGTGGGTGACCTGTGGCTCTTTGTTCAGGGACCGTCTCCTAGGGAAGCCTCATACCCTGCCTGTTGGTAGCCTCACTAAAAACTGCTGAGATTTCCCTCACGCTTTGCCTCAGGGTCTTTGACTCCATCCCTCTGATCAGGCAGAAGGTTTTTCTGGGAGTTTGGGCTTGTCAAGCTGTGCTGGTCCTGAGACTGACTTGGGCCAGCTGCTGGGATCAGATGCTTCAAAAGAGGGGGCAAGGAATGAGCTTGCAGAGAATAAATCCGCCACCATTTGGCATTACTCTCCTCGCTAATACCTTCTGGTCTGGCTAAACCTCACATCACATGGATTTGTTTCTCTTCCAGATGGTTGCGATGGTTATACAAGTTCAGCTGTTTTTGTTAACTTTATACAGTGCCTGACCTTGAATTCTGTTATTTTCATCGTGTAGCCCTTGTATGTTACAAGAAAGGGAGGACAGGTGCCTCCCGTCATCTTCTTTATACCTCTAATTATTTTATCACTCTTTCTTCTGCAGTTCCTCCCTAATGTAAGCAATCTGCATCTTTCCATTCTTGCCTCCTGTGAGAAGTTTTCAAGCCCCTAATTATTCTTTCATTTCTGAACTTCTGCTGGATCCTTTTTAAGAAGTGTACTTTTGAAGTTCCCTTTATAGCCTGATCTGAGAGGATGCATACTTGGCTTTCAACAGCCTCATAGCGCGCTTGAGCTTGTTAACTTCAAATGCGGCGCTTTTGGCGTGGCCATTATCCTGACATGAGAAGTACCTGGCATCGAGGTTTCAAGAACGTGGTGAATTTTAAAAGATGTTAATGGAGACTGCGTACAAAAGGCTGCATCCTGGATTCTGATCCACCACCTGCCTGTTGTGCAGCAAAGTGGATGAATGGTATCAAGTCAAAGCCCCAGGCGAGGACGCCTTGACTGCCCTTCTCAGTTCCGACTTGGCCTTTTTTACTTTATGGTGAGATTTTTTGTTTCCTGCCTGTCTGTTCTATGCTGTGGTTTTCTACCACATCTGTCACCTGATGGCTGAGCTCTTTATCCACAGCATTCCGTTGACAGCTGTTTTGTTTCTTAGCTTATTAAAGCTTTTGTTATTAACAGACCTGAGCCTTGGCACCCTGGTGTCTGACCATTTGTGTGCTCTGCCTGTGAAGAGGCTGGGTTGGACTCATTATCAATTCACATGGCCTAATGATTTCCTGTCCCTGGGTGTCATGCAGTGACACACCTGTGCTGCATTTCAGGCCTCACCGGAGCTGCTGTGATTTGAGTTGCTTGTGCTTTGGCACATTACAGTATTTTCCTCCCGCATACTGTCTTTAGCGTTTCAGAAGGATGGATCTCGTGCGTGATTTCCCAACAAGCTCTCTAGACAGGGGTGATGATAATCAGTAAGGGGATTGAGAGAGAACTAAACTTATTTTGCTAAACAAACTGAAGGAGTTCGTTTTAATTAAGCAGTAATTTGGAGCAAATGAGAAGATAAAAGGTGGCCACTGCTCTGTTAGCGAGGCAGCTGCAGGTGTTTGAGTCATGATACTAGAAGTGGCTCTGAGCTGTTGCCTGATTGCTGCTATTTACATTCCCTTAATTCTGATTAGACTTTAACTATTAGTGAGACTACAGAGGGGAAGCAGAACAGGGCTTAGGTCAGGTAAGCAGAGGCACTGCTTAGAACTGTGCAGAAGAGGATACCCGTTATCTTCTGAAGGTGGTAGAAGGAGGTTGGCTGCTCACATTACGTATTTTTGCCTGTGGGCCCCTCTCCCCCCACCTCTGATGGGCTGTGTTTAGTTGGAAACTGGGCTTCTTTTCTAGTTCAGGGCCCAATAACCAGAGTGCAGGTTGTCTTGTAGACAGGCTGGGATGCATCTGATTGTTCGCTCTCTGTCCCTCAGCTGCTTTGTGTCTGTCTCTCTTTGCAGCCCACTCCTGCCTCCTGTTAGTTGGTGCTGCACAGCACGTGCAGTAACGCGTGTGGTCCGGCAGCCCGAGAAGACAACGGATGAACGCTGCGGAAGGGGTAGGAGTTCTGTTTGTTACGGCAGCCTTGTCGCTCGGTGTACAAGGAACTGCTGCTGCAGCCTAGCCTTGCCTTGTGCCCTGCGCTGCCCTTGCCTGGCTGCCAAAAGAAATTGTGTTGGGACACCCAGTCCTGACAAATAGCTGTGGTCACCAGGACCGCCTTGTCTTCGCATCCTGTGAACCTGTGTGACCTAGCCTCTCGCAGGGAGAGCCCCTCCCCTTCGGCTACTGAGCGGCCGTGTTCCGTTTGGTTCATATCTGCTTTCTTGTCAAAATGATTCAAATTTCAGTCCAGCCTACTACTGGTGTGGGGCAGAACTTCCCTGAACTCAGTAGCAGGAACTCCTGCCATTGGTGTTTGATACAGCAGCTCGGTCCTTTTCCTCACACGCAGACCACAAGCTTGTTTTGCCTCGGTCTTTCTGCTGCAGCTTTCCTTCTATCCCTGCCGACTGAAAGGGCTCTGTGTGCTTTCTTGTAGCTGGGCAGTGGTGGGAGAGAGGCAGGTGACAAATAATGACAATCATAATCTGATCTGGTTGGGTCCTTTTGCTTTGCCCCCATGCTATTTGCATTTCATCGAGAAGAGAGTTGTAGACTTTTTCCTGAAAATCCATAGCTGAAAAGAGGGAGCTGGAAGCTCAGTGGCTTTGGCTGATGTTTTTGAGCCTCTCCTGGCAGAGCAACTCAATCGTGGTGTTGGTAAGTGCCCTTAAATGAGCTTGCTTCTGCCCTTCTGAGATGTCAGCTTGTAGGTGGGAACTGCTTTTAACTGGAAGTGGAAGTGACGTGTAGGGTGCTCTCGGTCAGCCGAGAAGCCCAGGTATGAGGCTGATGTTCCTGGGGGCTGGTGTTGCGATGACGAGCTCCCTGCGGTAAAGCACAGGCACGTCGGCTGGGGCCCAGGTGTTGTCCCTGCATGAGCTGCTGGAGGAAGAGAGCGGCCATCCCCACCCCAGCAACAACTGTGGCTGCGTTTTCTGTATTGCTGAGTGAGTAGTGTAAACTCCATCCAGAGGCTTTACGTAAACCAGCACCTTAGAAATACTATAAAGAATCTAGGAGTAAAGCTTGGGGGAAAAAAAAAGAGATCTCTACACCAACTAATATCAATTCTTTTTCCTTTATTTTCTTTCCCTCTTTTTTCTTTCTTTTTTTTTTTTTTGGTTTTTACTGGAGTCTCGAAACAGCCTCAGTTAAAGATGCCTTAGTTTTCCTTAGTTTTCCTTTTGTGACGCTGATTTAGGATACCTGTGGAAACAGGACACGGTTAGCGGAGTGTGTGGTTCACCTCAGATGAGCCTTTGTTCCGAGATACAGGTAATGACTCGTTAACAAACGCCACACATATTCTGTCCACATTTCCTTGACACTGAATCTGAATATTGGTTGCTATTTAAAAAAGTACAATGTTTGATTTGTTGATTTAATCACAAAACAAAACACATGAATGGAAACACTCGTTTACATGACTATTGCTTATACACCTAAGATGAAGAGTTGACTACAAATGGCCACACGTAGTTCCTTAATGAGAGAGAGTGTGTTCTTACTAAGACCATACCAAGGCAAAAAACTTTCAAGACTGAAATAAACTGTGCTTCAGTTCACCTTTAGGTTATGGAAAAGGATGTATGGGAGGGGGCAGGCTATTTAAGGGGCGTAATTACCTGAAATCTGGCTTTTTGCCTGTGTTACAATACACACAGTTTATAAACAGAGGAGTCCGGAGGTTGAACACAGCTCTTATTTAAACTGCCGTGTCGTCTTCACTTCTTAAATTGTATACTGAAAAAATTATTTTTGTATGCGTAACTTCATTACAATGCACACGTTGTGGTGTGAGAGGGCTTCTGTAAAAGGAATATGTAAACTGTTTCAGAGACTTTCTATATGTGATAATTTTATACAACATGTGTACTAAATAGAGCATTTCTGTTACATATTTGTGTAACAAGCTATATTCTGGTAATACAGGGAATGTCTCTTTTAAATAGTTGAACCGTGGAACTGTAAAAAAATTTAGAAAACAGGTACTTAGACAAAACAAAAACTGATTCTCAAATTTTCATTTATGATGTCTTTTAAGTCCAGATTTGAAACTTAAGTCAAAACTCTAGGAATGGATTTTATTTTTTTTAAAATAAAATAGCTTGTACTTCATTGAAGACTTGCCAACTCTGAAAATATGTAAATAATCTAATTTAATGTATTTTCTCAGCATACTCTGTTTATCTACAGCTCTAGGCATAATTTTAAACACATCTGTTCAAACTCAGATGTGTGTGTGTGTGCGGTTGGAGGTTCTGCACGTCTGGTTTAGGATGGGGTTGTGAAAGAGGGCACCTGTAAAGAAGAATGTGAAGGAACAGGGTATGCAAATGAACAAAAAGCATTTTAAATTGAAGGAATCTTCCCAGCCAGTCTGGTCTATTGTAACTGAGGCTTGCAACGTTGAAGATACGTCTAAGTTTAGGATTTTGCTTGTGATGGTGCTGTCTTAGTGGGGAAGGTGAAAGCACATGATTTCAACATCCAGCGACAGCCAGTGTCCTCAGTTTTCTTACAGCACGTCAGGTCGGACGCTGTGCTCGTTGCTGGGAACGCTGTGTCTTTATGCCTTTCACTAACAGCCTTCAGTAACGTTCGGGTCAGGCCTTTCCAAAATCCCACACTCCCCCTCATTTCACAATAAATCAACCAGGGAAGAGTTTTTCCTCCCTTACTGAAGTTTTTAAAAGTGAAGTGTTTTTTTTCCCCACACACATGGTAAATCTTGATAGAAAGCATTTAACAGTGTGCACTAACAAACTTATACAACATATACATTACATATATATATTTATATATATAGAATGTTTTATATACAAACATATACAACTTTTTAGATCTCTACAGACTACATGAAAATTGATAATTATAGCCACAAGTAATTTGTAACTGTCTGGAAATATGTAAAATATGTAAGAGTGGAAAGCAAGATACAGCTGTGACCTGATGGGCAGTACTAGAGAAAAGTTGCTTAAAAGTTTAATCCTAAAAGTTTAGTATTAAAAGTTTTAAGTTTGAGGGATGCTAAATTTTCATTTCTCTGTTGCAGAAAAATGCAAATGGAAATCTACTGGCAGGTTGGGGTTTTTTTTTGCCCCTGGTATTAAGCTAGAGACTGTCTGCAGCCAAAGTCAGTCAGGCATTGTGTAAAAGACACTTTTCTCTCTGGGTGTGCTGTAGTGAATAGCAGTTAAAAGTTGCTCTTAAATTTTGACATGTGATTCTCAGACAAGCGAGCAGGCTCTGGCTCCAGCCTGAAGACATTTCCACTGAAATCAAGGTAATGGGGAGCTCTGCAGTATTAGCCACCCACGTGAGGTACAGCCCAAAACTTACGCAGAACTGGTGGCTTCCTTGTTCTCCGAGTGACCCAACTGCTGCCTGAGCACCACACGCTACCCCTCACCCGGGATGCGTTCTTAAAGGCTGACTGCGTTATACCAGTTCACAGTGTGAACTGGCCCCATAGCCTGTGGGTGTACAGGTGCCACACTGGGACTAGTAACAGCCTTCCCATCCGCACCCACTCAGGGCAGAAGCAAGCGTGGAGCTGGGTGCAGAACAAATGCTGGTGGGGTGGCCTTGGCTTGGTATTAATGAAGACTGCTTAGCTCCTCTGTAAAAACAGAGAAGGCAAGAAGAATAAGGGCTAGAAAGCTGGTTGGAGGGTTTGAATGATCTGCTGCCCCATGGGATTTTGTTGCCCAGCGACTAGTGGTTTTGGAGTATAGGCCAGAGCGAATATACATTTAAACAGAAGATAGAATTGCTATAATGTTGTTCTCATTCTAGATGCCTGGTTACAGTGGTGCTTCCTCACACACGCAAGTGGCCGATTCTGTGACCTGGCCGCTGGAAGGAGTTCCCCAGCCCAGTTCCTGTTGGCATCAGAGTGGTGAGTTTGCCATTTCCACACACACACCCCCCCCCGTTGGCTCATGGACAACTCCAGTTCCTTAACTTTCAGCAGAAACTTAGGCATTGGCTTGGGCTTTAACCTTTTTCCCAACAAGTTTCTACAGTTCTCACAATTACAGAGCTCTTTCTCCTGTGACCGAATGAGACTCAACAAGTTCCTCTCTCAGTTGAGCTAGACCTCTTAGAGCCATTATTTTGATTTTTGCCCATAGAGAAGTGTAAAAATCCTGTAAAGCGTGATATTCCTGTTGTGCTACAATGTGAATTTAAAACTTAACACCTCAAATCGGTTCCAACCCTTTATACTTTTGCATTTGGGCTGATAGTGAAGCCAGACTTCTGGACTGTACCATTTCCTGGGTTCCATTTTATTGTAAGAAAAGGAAGGATAGGGGAAAGGCATCTTTGAGAGAGATCATCTGAACACTAGGATGATATAAACACCAGTGAAGTTAAGGCCTAGTTAGGAGGGGGATGCTGCTTGTCTGCATCAGTGTCTGTCAGGACTCCTTGAAGGGACAGAGGATGTCACTGTTCTCGTATAGAAAATTTTTAAATGCTGCTTTTCCACCTTTTCCTCACTTTCCTTTTTTAATTTGAACTATGTCCAGGCACATGAAAACAAGCCTGCAGTGCCTCATTTCCAAGCCAATCTTGGAAAAATTTCTGATTTAACAGTTGACCTGTGTGGCAGCGAGGCTCTTGTAGGCTGCCGTGGCTGCAGTGCACTCATGGACTAAGAATCTATTTGCGCAGACAGGTAATAGGTTCTGCTTTTCTCTGCGGTAGCTGCAGGTTGGAGAGTTTTCTGCAGAGTTCACTGTGGAAACCAAACAAGCCACTTTGAAGCAGAAGCACATTACTTTTAGTAGTGTGAGCAGAAAATCAATTGCCACTCACCCATGGTGTCCTTTTATATATGTGCCAGTTCAGTGCCTTATGTTGACAATTGTTTTTCATGCTCCTCCCCTGGCCCATCGTTTAGTCTTGCTGCTGCGATCTCTCTCCCCCAGCTTTAGGGGGCTCACTGTGCAGTTTCCTTAGCATAATTTCAACTGACCACTTAAGAAAAATCACTGCTCTGCAAGCTGCTAAGCAGCTTCTGTGAGCAGAACTTGACAGGACTCTCCAACTTGTAGCCCTGCGGCTTCCCATCTTGCCTTTCCTAACTTGAAGAAGCGATTTCCGAAGCTGGTTTTCTATTCCTGCTAACTGAGAAATAAAGCAACCAAGTGATACAGATGCCACGGGGATGAAAAATGCCATAGCCCCCTTCAAGGACAACTGAGGTGAATCTAGAGCACATTTTTAAAAGTCTAGATAAGGATGACATGTCATGTGCTCTGAATTGCAAATAAACCATCTATGCTCATGTTTTAATGACATTTCAGATAGTGCCTGTCTGTAAATGTTGGGCATGGGATTTTGAAGTTATTTACTCTTCTGGTAGGAGTTAAACAGCACTGATTTCAAGCAAGGTTTTTCAAGGGAAGTAAATAGCAGATAAGAAAATGCAGCTCAACTCATTTTTATGTTGAGAACGGTAGCAAACATGCTTGAAATGTACTGGCTTTTTGTAATGTCACTTTTAAAAAATAAAGATTTTTGCTAATTTTTTTTTTTCTCAGAATAGAAATAAATCCCATTTTTCTTCGGTCACAACATGCTTTCTTTTTTTTTTTAAGATGTCAATTAGTCATGCAAAGTTTTATAAGTGCATTAACATTCGAGTTTGTACAGAATATTTTTAACCAGACGCACTCCCCACAGTTCATACCTACAGCTTCTGAGAAACTACATGCCACAGTGATGGTTGAGTTCCTTTTGGAAAAAAGTCGGCTACCAGATGAGCCAACTGTTGGCTCAAGACCCGCATGATTCTAGCTTCCATCTCATGGTCTGTAAAATTTCTCCTTGACTCCTGCTGTGATGATGAATCCAATAATAGTAACAGGAAAACATCTTCTAGGAGAAAAAACTGTCTCTGGCCGGTGACTGGTAGATTAGGGAATGAATGTTGCTTCCCCGAACAGTGTTCTTAATAAAGCCACAAGCAGCTTCTTTGAAAGTCTAAAACTGGTACCACTTTTTGTCCTTGTATTTCAGCATCACCTACAGAAACAGGAAACAAACAAACAGCTGTAAAACACTGCTCTGCGTATGAGGTGTCATGCATGACCTAGGCCCATTAACTGTCCCAAACTTAAGTAAAAAAAGGAAGAGCAATGCAGTACTTTACTAACAGTGTCATCAGGTCTTCACTCCACTGAGACCTTGTATTTAATTTCATAATTGTTACTTAAAAAAAAAAAGTTGCCTGCTATTGCTGTTCACTAAAAGATTTTTGTTGGGGAACTTTAGCTACTTTTCTTCTGCAAAAAGTACAGAGGTATGGGAATAACCAGGAACTTGCTTTTTACTCCTACAGAAAGAAGCTTAGCTATGGAGCATAGTGGATAGGCCCTGAATATATAAACTTTTTTTCATTAAAGGCACATTCTGTTTGCATATTTTTGCCTCACCCTTACAAAAGCCAATAAAAATGTCAGGGCCTTGTACAGAGATGTGATGCATGTTAAATGAAAAACATGCATTTTGGGAAGTATTCTTTAATGTTTTATGTTCAAGGAAAATCACTTTAGTTGATTCCCAGCCTTAACAGCATGGGATGGAAGAGCTTTCCATTTCCAGCTCTCAGCAGAGAAGCTGTCTATTCCAGGCAAGCCTGGAATTCTATATAACTGTTATTCTATATAACTGTACCACAGTGTTGTACTAGAAAGGCTCTCCTCTTCTTCCCAGTAAGATCTGTAAAGGTTCCTATATACACATCCACCTACCTGTCTTCTGCCCTACTGCACAGCTGTGCTACACTAAGTGGCTTAAAAAAAATCATCATGAATTAGTGAGAAAGGGAAGAGATGAGAAGTGCATGTTCTAAATTCAAATGCTAACAATGGATGCTCATTTATGAAAACTGGAAAGGAACGGGTGTGCAATGGAAGTTTATTTTTGGCATTCTCATTGGTTGGGAGCAGGAAAAATGATGTCAGTTAACATGAGTACACCTAAACCAACACGACTAGGTGAATGGGGAGAACCGTTCTTGACTTTCCCCACGGGAAGCAAAGGTGGAGTTGCAGGGTTGGCAGTTCCCAGTGCGGGGTGTGTGGTGCCAGGGTCCCTACCTCGTGTGCATGTTTGGAAAACGCCTCTGCACTGGCCATCATGCTTGCAGTCCTTTCGTCCAGCTCTCCCAGTTTCTGTCCTCTCTCATCAAGGGCAATGCGTGCACGAGTCAAGTCCCCAATGACTCCTCCTGCGGCTCCTCTCACGCCTTCAATTCCACCTGATCCAGGGATGTGCTGGGCAAGACTGCGAGAGGCTTTTCCTGCTGTGGCCTCACCAACTGCAAAGGAGAAACGGTCAAACAGGAATGAGTTCCTGGCTGTGGTGCTCTCGGTGCTTCTTGTCCTTGAGCTGCAGCCTTGCAGCGGTAATGGCATGTGTGGAAGACTTTATTGTGTGCACCGGCACACCTACAGTGCAGTCATAGCCCCCCCCCCCCCACCCCCTTCATCC